CATTTTAATAATAGTTGTCATTTTATGATGTGGCATAAGAAGACTGAAAGAAACCCACTGTATACATTCCAGACTATACAGAAAATGAATGAAAAATGACATTGTATGGTTGTTAAACTTCATAAAACTCAATGATGTTTTTAGCTGGGAAGGATACATTCCTGTCTTTTCTATTCATTATTTTAATTAATAGATACTGATATGATATTTGCTATGTGCCAGGCTTTGTTCCTGGCACTTTACCAATATTAACCATTTATTCTTATAACAATTGCTATATTCTTATAACAATTCTCTGAGGTAGATTCCATCATTACTAACATTTTACAGATGAGGAAACTGAAGCTTAGAGAAATTAAATAACTTGTCCTGGATCATGTAGCTAAATCAGTGTTAGAGCTGGGATTTGAACTCATGTGATTTGACACTACTATCCTATTCTCTTTTGTTCTCCATGTTTGACAATGGTTGGTAACTCAAACATAGAGCTAAGGTATTGAATAATATTCCATCAGTCCTTAAGAGTAATATCCATGGGCCTCCCCTGGTGGCGCAGTGGTTGAGCGCTGGACTGCGAGGCTGCCCGCAGCCTCTGCAGCGCCAGTTCCTTCCCCAGCCACCAGCGAGGGTCCCACAAAAAATAAAAAAAGAGTAATATCCACTAAGAATAGTAACTTCTAACACACAAGTACTTGGCAAAATTTTGGTTTAAAAGATTTGGTTCTTCTTTTATAAAATTTAAAAGTAATTTATAAGCAAACATATCTATGTAAGAAGATACAGCCAAGAAAGTGGGGAATAGAAGCAAAAGTACAGTTTCGTGATTGTAGGGGAGACAAATTGTACCATCTCCCATCGATTTTAATTTAAATATGATTTACTTTACACAACACTGTAAGAGGGATGGAAGACAGACAGGAAAAAGTGACAGTTAACTAGTAACTTTGGAAGATGTAACAACAAAGAGTTATATATTAAAAATTGACTAAACTTTCTACAACATGCTAAAATTACACTTTTATCTCTGATTTTTGAGAATTTTATGCTTCAAATACTTCATTATAGTGTAAGTTTATTTTCCCTATGTTTGGGCCTAGCAAACATCCTGGCAAATGTACTTCTGTTCATTTAATAATAAAATTAGTTGTTTGGAGAATGACAAATTGTGAATTGTTGGTCTTTTGGAGGAGCTATTTCTCTTTGTTCTCAACATCATCATTTTTAACAGGCCTTATTAATTCTTTTATCGCCTCTGTTCTTCAGGCGAGAATTAATAAAACATTTTAAAATGTGAGCTCATTTCAAATATCTTCTACGAGTCTTCCTTTGAAAATACACCTGGAATGCCTACCTAACAAGGCAGGTTGGGACCTTTGAGCTGCTGCACAGACTTCATAACCTAGATAAACCCGAGGCATAGGTTGAGTGTTCTTTTCCCGAGGGTGACCACACTGCTCAGAGCAGGATTGCTCAGAACCAGGTCAGGAGGAACTACGGGGGGATCCTGGCTGTCCGCTCTTCGATGGGTGAAATCCAGTCCCTGCATGCTGAATCAGACTATCTGGGCTTCAGGCTTGGAAATTCGAATCTTTAACAAGCATCCGAGTAGATTCTTCTGCACACCGAAATTTGAGATTTGCTGGTTTAGCCCTACTTCCAGTAGACTCTCTGTAACCTCTGAATTTGAGGTGGGGCTTTGGAAAACCCCTTCAGCTTGAAACTGGTAAAAGCAGGTCTGGTTAGCACCAACAGGACATTGGGTGGGTCGATCAACAGGTATTTATTGAGGGTCTATTTTGAATCAGCCCAATGGATAGTCTTGAACAAGGGCCAGATATGAGTCAGGAATATTGTGTGAAATTTACTGGAAGGAAGGGCTTTACACTAGCAACGTGATGCTGAAGGGAAAATGCTGGTAGTGACCGTAGAAAGCAAGAGCCAAATCTTTGAGGCACTCTGAAGGGAAAATGATATAAACTAGTGAAAAATGAAAACCCAGTTAAGGAAATGTTGTAGCTGTGAGCCCAAGAAGGTAGGTTCTCTAAGTAACTCAGGACCACACTCCTTGTGTCAAGTAATGGAACCTGCTACAGAACCGATTTTTTGAAAAATAATTTTTGAAACTGAAAAGTATATTTCTTGAAAATTGTTTTGAAAAATATGAGGGAAACTAAGGACCCTACTTCGTTGGGCCAAGAGTTGCAAATATAGCAAATGTTTGTGAGATTAAGTTAAATGGTATCCCTAGTGTTATGTCTGGTGTGTTTGTTTTTCCTTTCCCTGAATGCTTAACTATCTTTCTTTTACAGATTAAAAAAAACAGAAAAGCACACAGTTTCCTGTTGGGAGGGGGGCACGGGTGGGAGGGAGCAGACAATCAAGAATGGGCCTGAGATGACCACAATGCTGCAATTATTAAAAGGATGTTTAATGCAATTATCAAGATGTTTGTTGGGCAAAATGTTATTGATAACTGAACTGGCCACCCCTTCTCATCCACAAAGCCCTGTTTACGGACTCACAAGAATTTGAGATAAGCCCAGGGCATGAAATACATCCTAGTGAAATTTCAGGACTCTGAGATTAAAAAGAATATCCTAAAAGATTTAGTAATAAGTAAATAAAACAAGCAACGGTGGATTACTTACATTGGAATGAGAATCAGACTGATACCAGACTTCACACCAATAGTCCTGTAGGCTAGGAGACAACAGAATACTGCATTTAAGTTCTGGGGAAGTGATTTTCAGCCCAAAAATTTATACCTAGCCTATTGGTAGAAAGTGTGAGGGCAAACTATAGACATATTTGGATAAGCTTGGATCAGAAACTTACTGCTCATGCATCATTTTTAAAAACATTACTTCAAGATGGTGAACAAAAAATATCAGGGGAAATCATGGGATTTAAGAGCATTGAAAGATGTAAATTTTGGGATAGTTCATAAAATTCATGCTAATCACTACCAGAATTAAGACCAGGATGACACTAATGATTAGAAGTGGGTAGAAAGGACTATTACTCTGTATTTTATGCTCTTCTGTATTATCTGTATTTTTGTTTTGAAAACAATTACTTACAACAAAAATATTAATAAAAAAATTACAAGACACCCCCTCTGTTGTGTGTTCTCAAATTCCATCTTAAGACATTAATAAGAGTACCTGTCTATACAGTTTAGGATCATTCTGGAAAAAGTCTAGGGAGATGCTGTTCAGACAGGTTTATACTCCAGATGTTTCAGAAAAATATTTTATCAGTTCAGCACACACACAAATATAGTAAGATGTAGACACATAAAAAGATGATTTTTATTTCTTCACAATAATCTGGAAATAGATCTTACAAATTATAACAAGGACTACATATTTCTACTTTAAAATCTCATCACTTACTAGCATATGTTATTGTAGTTTCATTAATGACAGAATGGGCTGCTTTAGGGAGATGGTAATTTGTCCTTTGCTCTTAGATGTTTTTCTCTTTCTCATGCTGAGAATGTAGTCAGTTCTTGAAATTCTTCGCTTGTGTGCCTTATAGCAGGAAGTTGCCAGGCAAGAGAGACAATTTATAGGGCCTCCCTGGTGGCGCAAGGGGTTAAGCACAGTGCTGTGAAGCTATCCACTGCCTCTGCAGCACTAGTTTGATCCCCAGACAGCCAGGGAGCTATCCACATGGTGCAACAGACCTCTCCTGTGCCTGCTGCTCCCCTCAGCAGTATGTTTTCAGTCAATCTGCCTGTTCTGAATTCTTTCAACCCTGCACCTTTGGCCTGTACCCCAAGTCTTGTATGCATAAATAAATAAATCTTTAAAAAAATATTTAAAATCTAAAAAAAAAAATCTTAAAAAAAAAAAGAAATACAACTAATAGGCTTTTTTTTTGCTATTGCCTTGGCTCGTGAGAGGTAAATGCTTAGACTTAAACAGGTGGAAGCTGTGGGATATAAGAGGAAAGGAAGATTCCTGAGACTAAGAAATGGGGTAGGGCTAAGTGGTGATTCAATGCTGGGCAAAGAGTCCAGGTTTGCTTGCAGATATCACCCCACAGGTAGGAGACACAAGTAGACTAGTTTGTAAACTCCAAATGTGGGACCAATGGCCAATGATAGGGTTGAACCCTATCCACCTTCAGAAGACCACATGGGAATGGACAGTGAGTTTATTGGGGGCCACCAATGACAGCAGCCGAAAGGACCCCTATGTGACTTTTCCCATCCAGTACATTCTGGAACCTTTAATAGTACCCAAGTGGGTGAGGAATGCTATCAATGAATGAGATTGAATTCCTTACCATCCAGATGGCTGGAGGCTAAGTGCAGAATAAAGTTATTTACAGTAGATTTCAGGCTGCCAACAATGGTACCATTCATGAAGGTGTCTCCTTGGGCAAGGAACAATCCATAGCATAAAATGAAAAAAAAAAATAACTTTTACAGAATATGAGACCTAGATGTGACTTCTATTCTGAACATCTAGCTGAAATTCTTCATGTCTAGGATATGAAGTCAAGGTTTAAGATTTAAAAGAACTTGTTTCAGGTTGTTTGCATAAAGTCAGCAGAGTAGAGGCTGTGGGCCATGGCCTTTCAGCTACTTTCCCTTCTACCTTAGCGCTTGAAATGTTCAGCTCTATATGTAGCAATTGAAATACATTATTATTTCATTGTGGCTATAAGTCTTGTTATAGTTAATGTTCTCACTTTTAAAATGAAATAAAGAAATCAGGGCCTCCCTGGTGGCGCAAGGGGTTAAGATGCAGCACAATAAAGCTATCCACAGCCTCGGCAGCACAAGTTCGATCCACACTAGAGAGCTACCCACATGGCGCAGCAGACCTCTATTGTCTCACCCGCTGCTCCCCTCAGCAGTGTATTTTCAGTCGATCCGCCTGTTCTGCTCTACACTCTGTCTCTGGTGGATCCTTTCACCCTCCACATCTCAGACCTGTGCCCCAGTTCCTGTATGCATAAATAAATAAATCTTAAAAAAAAAGAAGAAATCAGAACCATAAAAATATCCAGCTCTAATAGAGGGGATAAAAACAAAACCAAGCTCTATGGATTTTCTAGTTACACTCCATTCAAGTAATTGTGGGGAAAGAGGTCTGAGATGCAGTAGAACACCTGACATTAATTACACCTTCTGAAAATTAAATGTCGCCTCCTAAGTCTTTTTCAAATGAGATAAGTATATGTGTATTTGCTAGTATATGGACATATATCCAACAAACTGCTAGCTAGCAACCAAACACAGGGTAGAAATTTCTTTGCAGAAAAATGTGTGTTTGTATTAACCTACTTCATAGCCAAAGAAGAGGTTTATTTATGCCTTCTGATTGGGTGTTAATTCTTAGGAATCATTCTACATGATACTACTTCTAGTCTAGTTTCCCCCACTATCCAGTTTTCTTTAATCTATGTCTTTGTCACACCTTGTAACTTCTTTTCTTCTTTGCAGGCAGAAGGCTGATTGGCATTTAGCTTCTTATCTCTCTCTTTGCAGAAGAGCTACATTCTAGCTGCATGAGAAGCCTGTGCTACAAGAAGTTCAAGGACGAGAAGACCTGTCTAAATTGCCTGGGTGCTCATCTATCAGTCAGTCAAGCACGGTCCCTGGGTCACAGTGACATAGATCTTGCTTTAGCCAGACTCAAGAGCAGAGGTTGGTGGAGGGGTGGGATGATGCCCACAGGGGAAAGCCTGTCCTATGAGTGCTGTACCACCGAGAGACGCTGCATTGCAGGAGGCCGGCCTGGCTTGTCTGCCCTTATTCAGCCATCTGTTCAAATGTTCTGATAGGATTCTCTCTGATAGCAGGGCCCACAGCGAATGAAGGTAAATAGCAGCAGCACGAGGACACCGGACACCATGCCAAAGGCAACGGCAAGGATGATCTTTAGAACTGTGGAAAAAGAGGAAATGCATTAATGTAAAAGTAGTCCATTAAGAAAATAGGAAGGTCACACATCAGTGTTGCTTTCAGCACTAATTGTAAATTTCAGCAGTATTTCTGAAGCAACCTTGAAATCAGCACAGTGTGGTGGAAAAGAGCACTAGACTCGGTTCTGATTCCAGCATGACCTTTGACCTTAGGGCCTCAGAGCTTCCACTGGGAAGGTAATCGATTGAGGTATTTCTAAGGCCCTCTTGCAGCATTGCCTTCATGCATTTTTCTACACTTAAAACGATCCATTGTTCATGATCTCGGGGTCAAAGAAGATTCTGAGTCCTTGACTGCAATCACTAATTGGGTTTAGAAGAAATGGAGTATCATCTTTGAATCTGGTTTTTGTAAATATCTTTAGAGAGGAAACTTGGAGTGTATATTAGCGAGGGTAAGCGTTTTTTAGGATAATAATGGACTATTGTTACCCTGTACCTTTCTGCCGGCTAGCTCACCAGTTATGAAACAGATCTATGGGGCTGTTTTCTATGAGATGCTATTCATTATGTCACCAGGAATATTACTATGCCCATACAGACTAGTCCACTGTAGTGTCACATCATTGTCTCAACTCTACATGAATGTCTCACCTTCATTTCAAGAATATGGTGTTGCGGTATTGGTTTTGCTCCCTGGTGGTGCAGCGGTTGAGCAGCGGTTGAGCACTGGGTTGTGAAGCTGCCTGCGGCCTCGGCAGTGCCAGTTCGATCCCCGGCTGCTCCCCGGCCACTGGAGGAGGGTCCCGCATGGCGCGCGCAGACCTCTCCTGCCTCGCCCGCTGCTCCCCTCAGCAGTGTACTTCAGTCCTTCTGCCTGCTCTGCTCCCCGCTCTGGCTCTGGTGAATTCTCTCACCTTCCCACGCTTCTGACTGTACCCAGTACTTGTATAAATAATAAATAAATAAATCTTTTAAAAAAAAAAAGAATATGGGGTTGCTTGTTGACTTAGGTGCCTGGGAGCAAATATCTCTCTAACCCAGGAAGTTTTGTCTACACAACACTATTGCTCCATGGAACACAGTTGAAAGTCACTGATACAGTCTCAACTATCACAAAAGGAGTCAAAAGGAGTAATGTGAGAAGCAGAGAGCTTATATAATTTGGCTAAAGTTAAGCAGATTAACCTTGGCCCCATGGCGCACATGAGGTCTTATCAGTTTCAAGGTTTTAAAACCACCCACCTATTCACGAATGACTTTCAAATCAAAATCTCCCCAAACTCAGTACTCTTATAGTCCACTGTGTACTCAACCCTTGGATGGCCAATGAGCATTGCAATCACAACAAGTCCCAACAAGTCCCATCACTACTTCAAATCTGCTCTCTGGTCAACTGATGAAACTTCCTTATTCTAGTGGCTCAGGTGAAAACTCACCTGACTCTTCTCTCTCTCTCTCTCTCTCTCTCTCTCTCTCTCTCTCTCTCTCTCTCTCTCTCTCTCTCTCTCGCTCACATCCTTTACCTAATCTGTCAGGAAATCCTGTCAGTCCTACCAAAAACTGTATCCAGAGACCACTGACAACTCTCCTTCTTTGGCCTCACTCTCCCCAATCATGCTGTGCTAGGGTTACACCAACACCCTCCTGACTTGCTTCCCACTTCTATCCTAACCCCCTACAGTTTCAATACAGCAGTCAAATAACTTCAAGTCAAGCCATGCCATTTCTCTAAGTAAGTCCTCAATAAATACTCATTTCACTCAGAATAAATGCCCGAGTCCTGATGATAACAGCTTCTGAGGTTCTTTGTCATTTGGCCTTGTTAACCCCCTGGATTTCTTCACCGACCACTCTCCCTTCAGTTATTGTCTTTTGGCCACATGTGCCTTCTTGCTGATGCTCGAACATGCCAGCACATTCCCCCTTCTTAACCATGGCCAGGATCTCTGCCTCAGGTAACTCCATCACCTCTGCTCAAGGCTTATCCTCTCCATGAGGACAGTCTACTTAAAATACCTATCCTCCACCCACCCCCAGCTTGGCACTTGTTACCCTTGCCTTCCAAAGAACTTATTTATTATTTTCTTATTTTCCCACCTTCCCTCTAATAGAATGTAAGCTTCAGGAAAGCAGGAACCTTTGTGGTTTTGCTCATGAATGTAACCCAAGCACTTACAACAGTATCTGGCTCAGAGCAGGCACTTAATAAATTTTAATAAATTAAAAAATTAATGATAAAACTGTGTTACAACTCTTATCTATTATTTCAGAATGCCTCTCAGCATTATGAGTTAGTGAATATTAATAAAATTAGATCCTGGTGGCTGGATGCCCTAGCATACAGAGTTAATGTAAAGTTGGAGGGAAATAAACAGAATCGAGGAAGGAAGAAAAGGAGTAAATTAGAAATGAAAGGAGAAGGCCGAGATGATGATTCTTAACAATTAGGTTCTTTTATGCTGACTTTCTGCATTTGGAATTTATTTTCAATGATTTTTTTTTCAGTATTTTAATTGGCTATGTTGTCATGAGTTCCTACTCTTTTTCTTGTCTAGACAGTGTGTACATCCAGGCCAATGTGTGCTGGGTTCCAGAGATCCACAGAACCCTGCTCTTGAGAAGTTCATAATCTAGTGGGAGAAGCAGATAGACAATAGCAAAATAGAGGTGTGAAGACTGGAACAGGGAAAAAGCTGCAATTAACACAGGGTGTTCCATTTGGAAGAGCATTTGAAAAGTCTTCTGAGAAAATGAAAAGATTTGAATGGTCTTTAAGGTGAACAAGAGTTTAAGATTTTTTTCCTTGAGACAGAACGAGGTAGGTTTGGGATATTAGCACCTGGATGAGGTTGGAGTATGGGTTACGGTGAGGTGAGACCAGATATGTGTTGGGGCCTGAGTTTTATCGGGTCTGTTTTCTCCTGGTACAAACGGAAGTCCTCAGCAGTTACCACATGTGTAAGTGACATGAACTGTTTATGCTAAACAATAATACAAACAACCAACCAAAACACAACAACCCAAAACTGTGGGAAAAGATGGCATGGTAGTGATAGATCTGTTAGGAAGGTATTAAAATGCCTTCAAGGAGCCTCCCTTGTGGCACAGGGATTAAAGACAGCGCTATCAAGCTATCACCAGCTACTGAGCACGAGTTTGATTCCCCTGCCAGCCAAGGTGCAGCAGACCTCTCCTGTCTTGCCTGCCACTTCCCTCAGCTGTGTGTTTTGGGGGATCTGCCTGTTCTGTTACCCACTTTGTCTTTGGCGAATCTTCTCATACCTCACACCTCTGGCCTACATCCCAGCACTTGTATACATAAATAAATAAATCCTTAAAATTAAAAAAAATGCCTTCGATAAGATTGCATTGGAACTCTGGTCCTGAGATTACAGATGAGAGGATTTAAGATTCTCCAGAAATAGACTTGATAGGGTTTCTGACGGACTACATATATTGGCAAAGGTCAAGGATACCCCATGGGCTCTAGCTTGAGTGAACAAGAAGATAAACAGGCTGTGAATTGAGACTGTACATTAAAAAAAGGGTCAATTTAGAGTAGAGGAGTCCAAAAGATTGATTCAAATATAGGATTGAGATGAATTTTTATTCATATATAATCAGTGGGAAAAAAAAAAAAACAGGCCTAGAATTCTATATGTAGATGTGGAAATAAGGGCTATGGAAACAGAAAATGGAGCCTGGGTAATACTGGCTCTTGGTGAGTGTGGAAGGAGGAAACCAACAGGACCCTGGGACACAATCATTTGGGGGCTGGTAGGAAATCAATATCTCTCTCTCTCTCTCAGTTTTTAAACTATATGCTTCCTTGCACTGTAAAAGATTTTGTGAGTTTGACAAAATAACTTTCTAGATCTGAGGGTGAGTAATCGGTTGCATCTTACAGCTAAGTGGTCTAGTGCAGGAACCATCTACTGCCTGGGAACACGTGAGCTGCTATAGGCGGCGAGAATTGATCCTACTTTTCTGAAAATGATTCTGGCCATCCATTTCCGAAGCCTCTTCCTCTTGCCATTAACCCTTAAGTCCTGTCTACTCTTCTTTTCTCATTCACTTACCCTAGTCCTTGGACTATTAGAACTGCCCCCCAACTGTTTTCCTTGCTGTCAGTCCCACTGCTTTCCAGCCTACTCTCCCCACTGAAGCCAAAGGGGTCTTTCTAGAACAACAAGCCAGTCACCTTGTCTGTCCTCTGCCCACATTGTTAATGGCCAGAACCACTCAACCTGACCTAGGAGACACTTAATGCTGCCTCTCGGGCCCCTTTGCATTCGCACAGACAGACTTTTCCGGTTCCTAAATGTGCATGCTGTCGTTAACCTCTCTGCCTTTGTACCTTTTCTCTTGCTTGTAATTCTTTCCTCTCCTCACCTTCATTTGCCTGGTTAATTCCTTTTTTTCTTCAGGTTTTGTTTAAACATCACCCCCTTTAGCAGCCTTCTCTGACCCTTGGCCTTAGGCTAACAGCCTCTGCTGAGTGTTTTCTGGCTCTGTGTGTCCAGAAACACACCAGACTTAACTGCCAGGGCCCGTTTAGCTCCTGTTCTCCTGGCATGCTCCCCACCCCCTGCCAAGGTCTATGGTCACACCAGTGTAATCTTCTGGCCTCTTTTTCCTCACCTGCTACATAGGCATAGTGAGTGCATAATAGGTAGTCAATGCGTATCTATCGTTTAGTAAATATTCACATACTTAGATGCACGAATCCTGTTTTGGGGAATTTGGGGAATTTGTCCTAAGGAAATAGTTCACAAAACAATGCAGGTTGGAAAGGGAATAGGATATCTGGGAATTAGGGCATTGGGGAGGTTGGGTTTGAGGCCTCACTCTCTTGCTTGTGGCTTGTCACTCTCCCAGTTTAGTTTTCATCTCTGTAAAATGGGGCCATTTATAGCTACTTCACAGGAAAAGGAAGAGAGTCCACTGAACTAGCTTCTGATGACTTTCAAAAGGGACATGTCATAAAGAGATGAAGGATGAACATCACTTTGCAGAATA